CAGTTTTAACCAAGTCGCGACCACGCGGGATTGCGCAATTAGCAGGAGAGTCAGGAGATTTTTCTTCAATAAAATTTGAGTGGATGGAGATTTCCCCTGCCCAGGGCTGGCGTAGATGAATGAGGGTATGAAGATTCTTTTCAGGAAGAAAACTTTCCAAATTCCATTTGAAACACGGCAGCCACCGGTGGATACCATTGTCCCGAGTGAGATCTTTGTCAGCCACCGGTGGCTGCCATTGTCACGAATGGGTTAAAGACGTTCTACGAAGCTTTGGTGGCTTCTACGAAGTTATGGTTTGCAATAGCGCTGCCAGTAAGCCTATGCGTTCCCTTCGACATCCCAGAAAACGATTACGTACTTGGCGATGGTGAAATTATAACCATTTCATAGCATTTCGAATGTATGCGAAATCTTACCTGAGTGCCAGTGCAGTAAGCCTCGCCACATTATGCATGGAATGTAGAAGCAAAGAGCTTCCAGAGCTAACACAAATGGAACCCATTGATAGTAGCTGATTTGACGTGCCCTGAAACCGTTACATTATAGGAACTCGGATGCAAAAACATTCATTATGGAGTTGAACAATTAACTGTAGTTTTTTTTACGTAAAGTGTTCACGGAATTTTTCCAAATAGCATTTATTCACATAAACTTTAAAACTTTGAAGGCAGTGATCATGTTGATAAAAGGATGGTAAGAGGTAATCCTAATTACCTCCCCCCAATTACCCCCTTCAGTGACATGTAAACAATGACGTCACCAAAACCGCACCGCCCACCAGCCGTCGTAATCACTGCCTTTGATGCCACAGCACGGCAGTATGTTTTTCTAACGAGTTTTTCAAGCAGCACAGAAAGTCACAATTCTGAGAATTCTGTACACATCGAATGACTCAGGTATTAACACATTCGGAGAAACTCGCACGTAGTACTGTTTGCGACGAGGATAACTAAGTGAGCAGTCATACTCACATCATGGTCATTCTGGTGGGATTTCCCAATTAGGGATCGTGTTTTTGATTTTTAAGTGGAAGTCGCATCTGGGTTATTACAGAAGGTCGTGGTGTCGGAAGCAGGGTGAATATCGCCTGAGGATACCTCAACGGCGCGTCGAGGATTTTGCCTGATCAGTTATGCTCTTCCGCGCTGACATTCACACTCGCCATGCTCGTGCCGTCTGTTGCTCTTCCGCGCGGATGTTCACTCTCGGCACTACTCAGGCCACTACAGTACAAGACCATGATCCTCGACCGTTATTCACCCTGGGTCGGAGGGATATGCTGAAATTGGAATTAGATGTGTAAGAATCGGCGTTCCACCGGTCCCGTTCCGCCATCCCCGCTCAACGCAAGGCTTGCTGTGGGGTTCCAGTGGTAAAGCAACGACGGGTTTAGCTACATTCGTTCGAAGGTCCCTCTGGGTTTTGGGGCAGGCGGGGGAATTTTCAAAATCAGCACCAAGATACTACGCTCTTCCCCTCTTCATGATGGCCCTTTCGAACTTGTAGTAACTAGCACCTTTCCGAAGTCTGAAATTATCTATTTTACATGCAAACAAATTTCCCTTGCGGATAGGAACCGAAGGCTCAGCTCACTCTTACACCCGCAGCTCATGTTGAAGGCTCCCGTATAATGAGGTGCTGTGATTCGAAAAAAGTTAGTAATGCGAGACCTAGGAGGCTTCTCACTCACAAAGCTGTTCATGAGGGAAAGCGAGGGGCTCGACAAGACCGTGAAACTGGCAAAAACCATTTGAGGCTCAAGCATGAACGTGCCGTGTAAGTACAGATTTCACCATGGTAATTGAAAAAATTCCTAAAATTTGTTGGAAATCACAGCGCGTCCTTTTGGTGGCTAGCCGATCGCTGCGGAACTGGTCGTGTTGGCAGATTGTGGCGCATGTAGACACATGGACAGAATTCTTTCCTACAATTTTTGTAGCAGTTCCCTTTTTTTGTAATGCTCATGTGTGTCTGACGAGTTCAGTTGAAATTGTTGTTATTGACATTATTCACTTTCCAAAACTTTATCGTGTAGTAAACGGATGATTGGAAAAAATCTCTCAATAAATTCTTGGCGAGATTGGTGGCAACATGTTCTCTCAACTGAAGATTCAGTCTAGTATAGGATTGGGGTTCAGCAAACGTGACGACAGCGCACGCATTAGCTTTTGGACAAGTAGGACCAGCGCGAACTCGTGCGACGCGCGTCCGCCGCATCTCGCGCATATCAATTAATATCTGCAATCCAGGAAAAAATGAAAAGCGCAAAATCATCTCAGCAATTTACAGTGCGTGGAAGGTATTCCAGGTAACTATAAAATAGTAGATTGATGAATGAAAGGACTCATCAGCGCAATGAAAAACAAATTTTCGACTGTCGCGGGATGGACTTTAAAAAGCAGTATGTATTAGTTCGAGTCAAAACATATTCAAGACAAGGATTTTGTCAAACGAAATGGAAGTGCTCAGAAAAGCGCTCATTAGTGGCTTACGTAAACTATCATGAGAAGAATATGAAAAAACTTGGGAAAAAGTGCGCAAAAAATGGGAGTAAGTGGGTGTGATGGTGTCCTCATGGTGGGGGGTGTGGGGGGGGACGGCCACAATGTCCCGCCTACCGAAGTGGATGATACAGCACGCTTTTGTCAGAGGGTGAGGAACGGATACTGAGAGTGATAATGCCACCTGGGGTAACGTGGGTCTGCTTTCACCTCAATTATATTCAAAAAAATGTAAATTATGCCTTTTTTGATTAATTTTATTTGGAAAGCAGGATACGTTATGAGTATCACATTGAATTGGATTGTTTTTTTTTATTTGCTGGTGTCCCACCTAAATGTTTTCTGCTGTAGAAAAGAAAGGCATGATTCCATACAACAATGTCGACGTAGAGCTATTCACTAAGCATGGTTCGCAATCCCCAACTAGCCAACGCCGAGCAAGAATAAATTCGAGTTGCTGCTGTCGCATATGGCGCAGCTGTGCGAGCTGGACAGCGAGGATAAGCCTCACTGGTGGCTCACTCGGTATGCGATATGTTCAGGGTATGACTTTCGATATTTAGCTTCCATGGACATCAAATAATGAAAAAATGCCATGTACTGGGTTTCTTCAGGAGCCAAAAGAGCAAGGGCCGTCCCAGAAACACGTGGAGACGAACATTCGATAATGATCTAAAGACCATGGATGTTTCTAGGGATGAAGGGTGAAATACTTGCGCAAAATCGTCAGCAATGGAAAGAATTCGTCGCCCGATGTGCTCAACAGCACGGGAGGAACTAAGTCTAAGTCTAAGTATGTACATCAAACATTGAATGCCTTCACTTATATTCATACACTACTGCTTTCACAAGCGACCATGCGAAGATTGACTGCCATGTACATTGTTAGGAAAATCACAAAACAGGAAAACGAGGAAGATACAAGTCTATACCCACTATAGAATCGCCCGATGATGATAACAACGGTTTGGTGGCATCTCCTCTCACCCTTTCCCCAGGATTTATCGGACGTCCAAGCTGACACATTTCGAGCTCGCTCCCAAAATTACAAATACGCCTTTAAGCGTGATGCAACTGCTAAAGCCGATAACTCACGCTTCACTTCCTCCATTACCCACAATTTACATATTATATTCCCCTCCCCGAATCGAAAATAGATCCACAAAAAATAAAATTCCACCTTCTCCCATCAAGGCCATTGCCACACTTTGAGGTACCGACAGAGACCCGTCGCATGGCGAGATGGTAGAGAAGAGAGGAGTCAGAGGACGAGTCGCAACGCGTACTATGAAATAAGAGACGTAAAATCGGGCGCTCCAGCTCGCCCGCTGAGCCGTCCGCGTCTCCTCGTTTCTCGCCGCGCGACGGGCCTCCTGTCAGTTACCCGACCTATTGTCCAAAAGGTCCCGTATAGCTCACCATGGGCAGTAGTGCTTTTGATTTTTGCATTTGTGCATCGTTTCTGAAGAAGTGATTTAAAAAGGTCCCTAGGTTTTTAATCGTGTAAGAAGGTAACAGCGGCAGCGAACGTACAACATTTGGTACTAAAAATTGGTGACGGTTACTGAAATCAAAACATGCTCACCTTCGATCCCCGTATTCCAGGGGGAAAGCACTTGTCAGCGGTAAGTAGTAGGTGTTTTCAACCCAACAATAGTTTTCGGTGTACTGCTCCCAAGCGTCAGTAAATTGTGCAGGTACCCAGCATTGAATTGGGTAACCTGAGTGACAATATGAATCAATAGTGTAATGAAAGTCATATATTCAGGGGTTTGACTTACCGACATACTGCTTGGCGGAAACAATAATCGCAAACGCGAAAATTATTGCTGACGTATAATGGTAGTTCAACTTGTCAACGAAGTCATCATCTACCCTCGGATGAAGGCCTTTGAATATAGCTGCTAGATAATACAATAGCATTCCGACGGACAGAAACTGAAATGAATTAAAATTGAGTAAGTAATTTTTCTCATAAAAAAGTCTGTTGACCAGTCGAATTAAAGCAGCAACCCCAGACTAGATAGGTGCAGTAAAAGCGGTCGATAACGGAAGTAACACCAATTCGACTGAAAATGAAAAAAAGCAAAGGAGATCGCTGATGAAGCCTATGGCGTAATCTCTCTGCACCCCCTTGATAGAGGAAGGGTTGTCTCTAGACGAGTTTTCTAGACTTTGTTCGTGACTTTACTATCCCGCGTGTATTTGGATTGGCTGTTACGCCGTAACCCACTTTGAGTAAGAAGGGCTGTGCGCGAGGTATCTCGTCCATCAGCTCAGAGTTGCTCTGATTAGCTCACTTTTAAGACTCTAGCGCTCTGTCGCGCGGTTTCAAATCGCGAAAATGACACTTCTGTGATATTTGGGGGAATCTCTATCCCAGCCAGAGAGCAGATTGTTCCACATGACCTCGTCTGGGGTTCTTGCTATTGAAGCCCTTTTGGGATTTTTTCCAGGTATGACTAATCAGGGCGGAAGTGGTGCAGTGACAAGTGGCGCGCTCACCACGCGAGCGGTCCGGGGATCAAATCCTGGGTCGTGAGTCGCCCGGGCCAACCAAGCCTTCCATCCCTCCGGGGTCGGTTAATTGGTACCAGACTTGTCTGGGAGGATAAAAACACTGACTTGAACATCGGCTGGCCCCCGCAAGTCATTGTATAGGCCACATCGCATTCAAACGCCACTGCGAATGTACAAATGGAAGTAGAATGCGTGCCGCATCCCAAAAAGGGATTGATCAACGGCAAATGCTTTATCCTTTTTTATCCTTATAGGGCGGAAGTGGTGTAGTGACAAGTGGCGCGCTTACCACGCGAGCGGTCCGGGGATCAAATCCTGGGTCGTGAGTCGCCCGGGCCAACCAAGCCTTCCATCCCTCCGGGGTCGGTTAATTGGTACCAGACTTGTCTGGGAGGATAAAAACACTGACTTGTACATCGGCTGGCCCCCGCAAGTCATTGTATAGGCCACATCGCATTCAAACGCCACTGCGAATGTACAAATGGAAGTAGAATGCGTGCCGCATCCCAAAAAGGGATTGATCAACGGCAAATGCTTTATCCTTTATTTTATTACATGATAATTATGGATAAAGTTTCGAATGCCCTCCGAAGATATGTGTGCATGCCAGTCCTAAAAAGGGGCGAGATGAAATTTTTGGTGCAAGCGCTTCCGGCGCTAAACCACTTCACTAGACCAAAATGACACCACCAAATGGCCAGCACAGCACGAACGCTAAGGTCAACCATGCTCAACGCTCTTCTCATGTTCTTTTACATGACAACCTTGATTAGAAATTTGGAACAAGCCGAGAGTTGACACTCCAAATTTAGGCCCTTTAGTGATGTTTGCCGGATGCGATCAGTAATTACAACGAATTGCTAATTAATTACTTAGGTTTGCTGGATAAGATCTTCAATGTTCCTTACTTTTCAAGTGGAACATTTTATTTGTAGACTACTCAACCAGCAAGCTCGGTCCCGCTCTGCGCTCGCGGCGCTGGAACGAGAGTGCTCCCAATAAATCCCGAGCAAAGAATGTATCCACTACAAGCCTTTCACAAGAGGGACGGAACGCGAGAAGTATATAGGGTGAGGAGTGGCCTTGGGGGGGGGGCATATTGTGCGCTGCGGTTCTACTAATAAAGATGAAGGTGGCGTTGATAATACGGAAAAGCGCTTTATTAGCACTCTAATTTGGAGTGGTTTTTTGATAAAGCCCGACTGAATGAATCATCCTGTAATGGAGAGCAGAAGCGATCCTAGGCCAAGGACAGGAAATCCAAGGCCCAATGGGAAGAGGGATGGGCAGGGAAGGAGCTTCAGAGTGGATTGACCACTGACCGCGGGCCAACTAAGGGGTTGACTGTGTTGGATTTAGGACTGGTCTTCTCGTAGATCACTTCGGATGAACGTGCTCCCCAAGTTCTTATCGTTACCGGTAGAGATATCCCTAGCAAACAAATGCAGAACACAGCGAAGTGCCTGCCCCCCCCCCCTCCCCAACGCCGATTCAACCGTTACATATTATATGGGCTATCACTGCTGTGAACCAGCGGATAAAGTTGCGATGCTCATTATGTGGGATAGTAACCACCATCATAAAAGCGTTCACAACAACGCTCCAGGCGTGGAAGTGATTGCGCATGTACTTCACGACATTTCACAGGAAATTCTGATCTGTGAAAAATACCTCATTATTCAAGCTTGAAATTTGCTTCATAACCCAGCGCTCTTGTGAACCTCATTTCTCAGTTCCTCAAATCATCAAGGGCTTTTGAAAGAACTGAATACTTTTGTGGCGCGCTATTGCAAAATAAGGGGGCATTGTGGTGGCAATGCATTTGAAACCCAGTGAAGGGTTTTGGTTTGGGTCTTTTTTTTCGGAAATGGGGATAACTCTTCGCTGTGGCGGAGGAGGAGAGACTCCAGAGAGCGTGAGGGATTTTCTTTTTCCCCTAAGTTCGTGCTCCCTCTTGGGTTTAGTCCTAAAGGTGCCCTCGTACTTCGAGATAACGCCCTTTTTTACAAGGGTCCCTCTCTATATAACTAAATGCATAATAACGCTTCATGATATAGCGTTGGTGAAACGCAGGGCACCCTGATGTGAAATTGCGGTTATAGGTGACAAGCGAACGACAGATTGGATCAATTAGCTCAAGTGCTACCGTACTCCGCTGAGACGATTACAGCTGTTGATTAGCACACTCTAAAGCTCTATTGGGCAGGAATGGAAAAAATGTATGATAGAGAACACTATTAAATGAAACAAAGTGAGCTTATTTTTCTCGTTTTTTACCCACCTTTCTGTCCTTATTGAGATATGTCTTGGAGAATTTAGTGTCGTGCGGAGCGGCGCTCGACGGATGTACGGGATAGCGGGATACGTGATTCAATCGCTCGCATTTCTTGAGGTTTGCGTACTAAAATTCACAATTATCTCTGAATGAATTCAGCAGAAGATGTACAACAAGTATTGTGAAGATGAGAATGCACGAATGTCTAAAAGTGAAAGTTGTCCGCGATAAATATTGCAGCCTGGATAATCACACCGACACACAAATGTAAAGTACTACATGTGAAGCAAGGAATGAGGCCCGTCCACCCGGCCATGCAAAAACGCTCCAAATTGCGTGGTGTGGTGATGTGAAGCATAGAGCTGAACAAACTCAAAGATTACAACCAACCGTCTTGATAAAACAGGATCTGGATTACCGTATATGCAGCTACCGTGGTTACGGTAACATGAGTAGGTCTAAACTAGGGCCGAATTAAGACGGCAGCGGTTTTTAGATTGTTATTCAACAAATGCGGCCGCATTCACTAACGTCAGCTGATGTTGATTTTGTCTTGATGGACATCCAGCGATAAATTTTTCGGCTATCAGAGTTATTAATGCGCCTCTCATGAATAGACCTTAGGTCCAAGTCTGAGGCTAAGATAAGATTCTAACAAAATGCGACCAAATAAATCAGGTCTAAATCGTTCAAATTCGTCATTTCAACAGAGATATTAAAAAATACACAAATTCTAGCTACTCAATTCGTTCAGTTCCTTATGAAACTACCGAAAACCGAAGTCCATGCAAGCCTGTTGAGGCTTTTGAAGGCAGCAAGCCCGTAAAGCATTACTAAACAAACCCTCGGCGCACCCCCGACCAAGACCGGGCAATAGTTAATGCTACCTAGGGTTACAAGTCGAACGCACGATTCATAACACGAACATACTGCCTTAAAATGGTGAAGGAGCGTACAGCTGGTAATCAAAACCGCAGTCGCGAGGAAAGATAGTGCTGCAAAGAAATACCCGCAATTAGCCTCTGGCTTTGCATCTTAAGGCCACAAGCATGGCCATCCACAATTTCTAAAAAAATTCATTGACAAACTACGAGCGATTTCACAACGACGGACCGAGAGTCGGGCTCTCGGCAGAGTACTAAAATTATCTATTTTTTTACTCCGAAAAATAAAACGAAGACCAGTGGCTAAGCAAAAACAGCGGCTGGTAAAAGTGTTACAGGTTATAGAAATTGACAGATACACTGCAGACCATCCCGCGGACAAATCCGGCACTTTTGATGTCAAGCAAGAGCCACAGATTCGCGGTATGATATCAAACAGGAAATGTAATGAGACGAAAATAGATCACAATCAAAATCAACAGCATACACTAATCATCATGAATGCGATCACACAATCCGGCGTCCATCCTGGTCCAGGGCAAAACACTTCCGTACCGCGAAGAGCTGAAACGAAGTCACGGCTTAGTGCGAATTGCAAGCGCACACCCACAGTTGTGGGGCCCGCCCGTCGTGCGAGAGACTCTCCCCGCCTAAAAGCTGCTGCGCTCGATTCAATTTGAGATCAGTCTTTCAAAGTGGAACACTGGAAATAAGATTTCCTCATCCCCATACTCGCTTTACTCGCGTATTACCCAACGCATCCTCTTCATGTTATCGGGCAAAGGCAGGGCAACGGTCGCAAATAGGAGGTACGAATACCGGATACTATCTATCCTACCTAGTCTGAAAGGTCACTAACCAATTTATGCTCATGTCCAAATCACCCATCCTGAAAAGATTGCACTCTAGAGATCCCTAGGAAGAGAGTATTATTGCCAAAGAGAGAAAATCCCGCAATGGTTACAGGGTTGTGGGCTACTCGAACCTGAGGTCCAAACCTGGCCATAAGTGGACCTGGGGTTCCCGCAGAAAGTCAGGACGCCATTCTGTGGCTATATTAGAAAATTCCCCGTTTCACGCCAGAAATAACGACATCTCGAGGCTGGAAATGAACCCCAACACTTCACATAGAGATTGGATCTCAGAAGTTGCAGTAAGTGCGAAAACCAGACGTGAGAATTCCCCGGTCGTTTGATGAAGTTTGCGCTGTCAGGCTAGAGCAGGGTAAAATGAGAAGGAAGAAG